CCTTTTGCAACCAGACTTGCCTATCCTGTGTTGGTCTTTTTAGTCATCAGCGCGCTTGTAGCAAGTGTGGGTAGAGCCCTTCCCATATCTTCATTCACGAAGCCTAGCCGTGATGATGCTGAAAACCAGAGAAGCTGGAACCCAACCAAAGCGTGGCTTCAAACAGAAGGGGTACACCTGTGGGGCTGCCAGAATATTTTCAAACAGAAGGGGTACCCCTTGGGGGCTGCCAGAATATTTTCAAGTGGAAGAGGAACCTGATGCGGCACCAGTGGATCTACACAGGAGAGAAGCCCTTCAAGTGCCTGGAGTGTGGGCAGAGATTAACCAGGAGCACACATCTCCTGCAGCATGGGTTGACACAGACTAAGAAGAAGCCCTTTCCCTGCACCACATGTTGGAAATGCTTTGCAAGACATTCGTACCTCATTGATCAGCAACACCTCCACGCAGGAGAAAAGCTTTTCTCCTGCCCCTGCTTCAAGAAGACCTTCCAAATGAGTTCTCATCTCATCAGACATCAGCAATTCCACCACAACGGTGAGTCCTTGGAGAGGGCATACCTTGGTGAGGCTGTGGGTTGGGATGAGCTGGAGAAGTGTGCAGTGGGGCTGTGTTGGAGCTCCTTCTCCCAGCGTGGCGGGGGAGTTGTCACTGGGGATGGGTTTGCTCTGTCCCGAGGATGGGTTGATCCATTGCTGTGAATACTCCTGCTCTGAGCAGGAGGTTGGACTGGAGACCTCTATCTGAGAGAACTGCACACCAGGGACTCACACCAAGAAGAAGCCCTTTCCCTGCACCACGTGTGGGAAATGGTTTACCCGGACCTGGGTCCTTGTTAACCAAAAGCACATTCACACAGAAGAGAAGCCATTCGTCTGCCCCGACTGTGAGAAAAACTTCAGCCAAAACTGTCACCTCCAGAGGCACCTGCAAGCCTTACACAAAGGGGAGTCCTCCTTGCAGGGGGCTTTGTGATGTAATCCCTGCCTTGGTGTGGCTGTTGATTGGAATGGGCAGGAGAAGCGTGTGGTGGGGCTGTGGTGGGGTTCCTGCTCCCAGCGTGGCAGCGGTGATGGGGTGGGAGATGTCCCTGGGGATGGATTTGCTCTGTCCCCAGGTTGGTCTGTTAGTGGGGACAGTCTGCTCTGAGCACGATGTTCCCAGCTGAGGGAACTGCACGGGAAGCAGCTCCTCCTGGCAGGATTGGTTCATGGGTTGATGAGAGCAAAGGGTCTCCAAGAACACATTCCAGGTTCACTTGTGGGCACGGAGGTCCCTCTTCATGTATCCTCCACTGGGAATCCTGCTCTGGCTCTTCCCTACTTGCATTATGCCAACAGATATTGGTTTGCAATAGCGCATTCTTCCTCTTGCAGTAGTGACATATTTGACCTGTGAGTGAAGTTCAAATAAATCACTAGTTTGAACCTCACAGTGAAGTCTCTCTCCGTCTCATGCTCCAGCTTCACCGTGCACCTGAGGACCCACATGCCAAAGACCCTCTGTCACGTCCAGACTAATGAGAACCCAACAAATTCAGGTTTTCTTTTTTCAGTTATCCATGTTTCAGGAGGATCCCCAGGCCCAGTATTACAATCAGTCACTTTTTGCACTGTTGGAAAGGTGCAAACCCTTGGGACCTCAAGCTCTAAAGATTTAAGCGTGGGATTTTCCAGGGACCATATCCACACGGTTTTGGATATGTCCCTGTGTTTTGTCCCTGTTGCACTGGGAAGTCTAACACAGTAGGTAAGGGCAAAAATGTAGAAGGGGCCTAATAATAATTTGGTTGTTTAACGGGATGAAAAATAAAATCAAAAGGGAAATAAGAACAAGGTACCCGACAGTGTGATGGGACAGGAATCGTAAAAGTTCCTGCTGAAAGGGTCACATTCCCACCACTAAAGGTTCATATAAGATGAAATACCTCGAAATATTTATTCCAAGCATCCGTGTCCTCTTCTCCACATCTGTCATTTGCTTTGTGAAACTTCAATCTCGCTGAACTCCTGTAAGGTAAAAGAAAGACGAAAGGGAAGGAGGGAGGGAAGGGAAGCATGGTTCAGTGGTGGACCTGGCGGTGTTGGGTTAATGGTCGGATTCAATGATCTTAAAAGTCCTTTTCCAAAACAATTCTGTGATTCTGCCACCAAAATCGGGAATGAAACTCCTTCAGATCAGGCTGAGCTTTAACAAATGGGCATCACTTTATCTGGCACTGGAGATACCAATAATCTCTGCCTCTGGTCTGTCTGGCAAGTCTCGTATCGGCCGAAGTTTATATCACTTTATCACACACACACGCATTAACTTGTCTGCAATAATTACGTATATTCATTTAGTTTGTGGGAGTTAATTATCCAGTATCTTAAGGGGGCTACAAGAAAGCTGGTGAGGGGCTTTTAAAGATGTCAGGTACTGGTAGGACTAGAGGCAATGGACTAAATCTAGAGATGGGTCAGTTCAGGTTGGACGTGAGGAAGAAGTTCTTCCCCATGAGGGTGGGCAGACACCAGCACAGGTTGCCCAGAGAGGTGATGGAGCTGATGTCACCCACCAAGGCGAGCTATTGCTGATTACATCATTTCTGAGCAGAGATGGGGGCTGGGGTGTGTGGTGCTTCAAGCCAACTGACTGGCAAGGAGAGACCAAGGAACCAGGCAGTCACTCCCTCGCTCGCTTGCCCCTACCGGGAGTGAGCAGGAGAGCCCGGAAGGAGCAGTAGGCAAAGCCTCGTGGAGTTGAGATAAAAACCAGTCTATTTTAATGATGAAACATAAATAATAACAATAACAGCCAAATAACAGTAGTGTTTAACCAGATCTAATGCCAGTAATATGTTACGTGGACGTCTCACCACACGGAACCCAGCCATGCAGCAGAGAGGTGGAAAAGAGAGCGACCTCCGCCCCGGGCAGCTCCCTCTACGTACCCCAAGCATGAGTTCATGATGGTGTGGAATATCCCCTTGGCTAGTGGCTAGCTTGGTTCAGCTACCCCAGCTATGCCCAGCTCCCAGCCTCCAGTGAAAATTAACCCTATCCTAGCTGAACCCCATATAGCTCCAGGTCTTCTTCAGCCACCAACTTGTGACACCCTCTTCTGCTTCGTGCCTCAGATCCAGCACCAACCATTGCCTGAGCAGCTGTGCCACCAGAGCTCCCGGCCTCCCCACAATCCCTTGGTGTCTGTGTTCTGGTTCTGTGCAGTCACTCCATACATCTTTATTACATTGGCACGAAGTAATCGTCATATCTCCTCCTATTCTAAGAACTACTCCCATACTCATTTCACTTTCCATTCTACCATCTTTATCGCTGTCTACTGTTAGTTCTTCTCCTCTTGGTCTGCCCTGGTGGTCATCAGATGCCTCTGGTGGTCGTTCCTCACTCCTCTTGTCCTCTGGCCGACCTTCTTGTTATTTGGCAGCTTTGGCACTTTAGGACCAGTAGCAGCCAGCTGCAGGGCATAAGGCTCTACCTTGAAGCAACTGTTGCCCCCTTCAGCTAC